GTAATATAGACCACTTGTGTAACTTGCATCTCCAACCGTACGTTTCTGGCTATTGAGCGGTGACGACGCGAACCCCATAGGAGCAGGTTCGCTGTAGCAGCGCCCAAGTTTCCTCCTGGAAACCGAATCGGCGGCGAAATGAAAAGGCAGAGTGCTCGAGATAAAAAGGAAAAATGACCAGATAAAAAATTAATATATATAATCTCGAACGTACGATAGACACGGAATCTCCCTTTCAGGTGTCGGAGCACGCCGTAAAAATTGACAACTTTTTGTCCATGTTTGGTCACACCTCACTTGCACCGCAAGTCTCCTAACTGCACGCCGACAGAATCGCCCTCACCCTCAAAATTGGGCCTCAAATTTTCTACGATAATCGATACAAGTCATATACGCACCTCACACACCGACAGAGGTTGATCAGTGTCCCCAGACGTTGTCCAGCAAGTTGACAAGGGCTTCAAGCCCTGTATCGGTCCCAAACAAGTCACTGTCCATCTCTCAGCACCGTTCTCTGGATTCCCAGCAATCATAACCGATGGCTCAACCACAGCAGGCGACAGCTGTTTTGGCCCCAACGCGCCAGCCGTTGCAACCTTACCTGGCGTCTGTTCCAGCTCCACCGACGAATAATCCTCAAAAGGGAAATGATCTGTGAGTGTTATCGGCGTTAGGTGTGAGACTTTGCCGGGCTTATAACTCTCCGATCATTGCGCTTTAGCCTCTTGCTTTATATCATTGACTACTGTGACAAACGGAAATTCAACGAATCCGCTGCCGCTCTGAGACGGGAAGCTGGTGTGAAACCCAACCAAAAAGTTCCTGTCGACTCTCCAGAGGGCCTGTTATACGAGTAAGGAGCTATTGCAAATATCGTCGTCATTCACTAAGCGGCCTTCAATTAGGTGGTGGACATGCTTTTGGGAAGTGTATACTGCACGGGTACATCCACAGCGTGCGCACAGTAAGACAGCCAAAGATTATTCTGATGTGCGTTGCCCACGTGTTGACTTTATGTGACTCTGCTAATCCCAGCGCCCTCCAGAGTCTGACTCAACGAAGATTCCCAAATGCGAGAGAGCATGGCATCGCTCCTGGAAGAGCTGTACCAGGACGGGGTTTCTATCCTCAAGACCCAAGTTCCATACCAGGTCAACCTCCCTACTCCCATGGCCTCAATGGCATGCCAACTGGCGCACCGGGCATTTCTGCAATGACCCCCCTCCAAGACCCCTCCTTACAACATTTACAACAAGGCCGAATGCCCGGCGCAAGAGGGCCTGGCGCTCCCGGAGCACCAAATACTCAACCAGAAGGCTCAACTTCAGCGCAACCGGGGCCTCAGGCGCAGCAGCAACGCATGACGTTGCCAAACGGACATCCTCTACCGCCCAACGCCACCGCTCGACCTGGCCAGATGCATTCCAACTCTCCTCAAAATGCTGGCAATGGCATGACAGCAAGTCCCCAGCAAGCCACAACAACCAATTTATCCGATATTCCACCTATGCATTTGGCAGATCTCGCACGTCAAGTTGGGGCCCCGCCTACGAATCCCCATCAGCTCCCGGAAGAAATGAAGGTGGGTTGACATTTTAACATCGTGTTCAGCTTCTGACTCGGAGATGTATAGTTGCAGATACGCGAGCTTTATGATGGCAAGAATCCTCGAGGGCGGCCAAGCCGTGGCCAAAAGCGACCTTCCCCCCCAGAAGTCAGTGGACTTTTTTCTCGCTTCAAGTGATCCTATTGACAGTTTCCCCAGGGAGAATTTTCACCTAAAGGCGACTCGCCGCCCGATAAAAAGAAGCCGAGAATATCGCCACAAGAACCAGGCATGCCCCTTCCGAGTACTCCATCCCTAGCTGCCGCACAACCACCACCACTAGGTAATCGGTTACAAGCTGGGGGGCCCCCTCCTGGGGGCATGGTCATGGGGGGGACCAATCAACCTCCAATGCCGGGCGGGCCGCCATTCACAACTATGCACTTGGGCAATCCCAACCAGCCTCCGAACGCACCTCCGATTCCAATTGGTGCTCAGACGGTAGTCAACGGTCAACCAATGCCCAACATTAGTGGAGCAACGGGTCCCATGGCAGCTCAGGTATGCATCTCATTAGACTCGAGTTATATGTCTGCTCATAAAATAATAGCTCCAGCAGATACAACAATATAATCAGCGAAACCAAGCTACCCTTCAACCAGATCATCAGCAACATCTTAAACAGTTGCAACAAAGTACGATCAATGGATATAACCCTAGGGCGAGCTATATACCACCTCCGAATCCAGGGATGCCTACAAACCTCACTGCCGGCGCTGGTGGCACAGTCCCGTCAGAACAAGTTGCCCTTGGTACACCAGGCTCTAGGCCACAAATGGGACCCACCGGTCCCCCCAAGGGAGCTATGCTCCCCCCTCCTGCTCCCAACTCGACGATGCAACCAACTGGGGCTACTAATACCAATGGACCAAACTCTGGCAAAGGTACACCGGTTATGGCAGCTCGGATCAAGGAAGGCTCTAGTCCGGGTGGAATAGAAGGTGTTTCTCCTGAAAATGCGCGCCCTGGTAGCCGGCCCATACCTGGGTCAACCCCACAAGCTGTCTCAGCAGCCCCTACACCTTCAAATCCCATTACTGGACCACCTCTCACTCCTGGCCGACCCTCAACAATATCTGCACCATCCCCTGGTCTAATGGGACAACCACAACAATTAAGCCGCCCACAAAGTCAATCCCCATCTGGCCTATCTGTCCCCCGTGCGCCAACATCCACACCGTTACAACCTGCCCTAAACCCGAGCGTAATTCAAGCTCAAAACTATCAGACCGCAGGGGGACCCTTGGGTGGACTCAATGGCGTTCCCAACCCCAATAGTTCTTTATCCGCACCTGCATCTCTCATGCCTGTTACGCTAGGGAATCCGAGCGCTGGCCTTGCAGGACCTGATACCTCTACAAGTGACCTCTTTGGCATGAGTCTTGATCTGCAAATGATGAATTATCCGGACGACTTCGGCCAAAGTATGACTCTCGACTTTGGTTTATCAGACGATTTTTACTCGTACATTGATGAGGCGGCGACTTTGGATTCGGGTCCCGGCGGTCCATGAAATACATGCACATCGCGAATCGTCCTCAATAAAGCATCCCCTCACTGGTTTTGGCTATGGTCGTTGATACCTCTATCACTCCAGATAACGTTATCAACGTCATTATTCATATCCGATCACCCCTCCCATCAGAACTTTCCTGGGCTGGAAAGAACTGGAATATATCACCTCGCAAAAAAATCCTTTGGAATTTCAATCCTTTTCTGGCAATATGGCCTCCGCGATTGTTTAGTTATCTCTCAAATCTTTTCTGTATGATCACTCCTTTAACCTCTCAGCGACTGGGAACCCGTAGCTCTCATTATTCCAAGTTTCAACCGTACTTTAATCGCCCTGGTCTTGTAACATACCATGTACTTGCCTAGTACTTGTCCTGTCCCTTCGCGCGTGCGTTTACCCCCATATTGTGGACACAGTTGTAATGCAAATATTTTCTATTGATTGGTCCAATTGCCCTTATCTGTGAGAGACCTGAATAGAATGAAATGATCCTTTTGATTTCACTAACCGGGTGTCCTACTGAGTATATAGACCTGATCCGACATCTTCCTACTACGGTCGACTAGCTCAGCTGGTTAGAGCGCCGAGCTAATAACTCGGAGGTCCTGGGTTCGATCCCCATGTTGACCATTGGTTCGTTTTTGTTACCTTCTCTGTATGGAGGTGGCCTATTTTTATAGCAGAGTATAGCCCATGGCCTTACGAGCTCCTGAGGTATCCCATATACTTCAAAGTTGATTATTCAATATCATACTACGATTCTACTAGGGAACAGAATACAGCTTTTTCCAGGTAAGGCTAGGAGAGGGGTGGGTCAGGAACATACCCAAACTTCAGTAAATGTTTTAGGCATCCTGGCATTATATGATTCAAGATACCATCAATACCTTTGTAGGGTCAGTACTAAGGTAACACAGATATTGATTTGCTTACTGCAGATGGCGTCAGGCCCAATTCTTTCAATGTTTGACCCCATTCATCACGAGAGTAGTTTTTTCTGTATCAAAATGGATTAGCACCGGAAAGAGATCCACAAGAAAGCAAGACAGACCTTGGAAAGTTCGTGGAGAATGAAACTGTTTCCACGTTGTACGCTAGTGATTGTGATGCGACATATTCGGCTACATCTCTCAGAGCTTCATAGAATAAGACAACGATCAATCTTCAATCGGGAAGAAGCTCACTATTTCCACTAGGCATTGTCACTGTCAAAGGTGCACCACCGGCAGAAAGCCGTAGCTAATACAGAGTCAGCTCATCTAACTAGAAAATGATGGGTCGATGTTCACCTGAAGTCTAGTTTCTGTGTATTCCTTCTTAACAGATGGGGCGGCAGCAGCAGCTGGAGTGGCAGAGGTGGACGCAGTTGGTGGGGGGGCCTGACCCTCTCGGAGTGCTTTCTCCTTTGCCGCCTTCTCAGCCCTCGCTTTTTTATCGGCTTCTATTTGAGCTTTGATCTCCGCACGAGCCTTTGCATCGTCGAGTTTGTCTATACAGCTCATGAGTTGCAATTTAACAAACCAGGAAAGCTCCTACCTTTTTTCCTCTGTTCGGCCTCCTTGAGAGCTTCCTTTACTTTCATCTCTTGACGTACTTGAGTAGTATCCTGATGTAATGGTTAGATATGAAATGATTGATGTGCGGAGGGCCTTACTTTGCCAGCCTTTCGTCTCAGAGCCTCATTTGCTTTGCGTTCTTCCTCTTCTGCTGAGGATTTTGCAGCCCGTTTAGCAGCCATTTTTTCTTTCAGCTCTGCCAGCTTCTGTTTCTTTTCTTCCTCGGTCAGCGGTTTGATCTAAAGAAGCAGTTAGAGTCACAGCGGCCGGTCTCGTAGATACTCGACCTCTTCAGTACTTTCTTCGAACTGATCGTGCCCGGATTTTTCTGCACTAAAAGATCCGATTTAATCAGGCTGATGATGAACAGATATCAAGCTTACTGGAACTCTGCCATTGCAGTATTACGAAAGACCTTGCCACATTCAGAACATTTGATTGACTGCTCCATTGGTCAGAAAGTGTTTTCTCATGCACCATAAATCGCTTTCCTTTGCCTCCTGATCCCCCAGCGCAAGGCTCTGAGCTAGTTTCATATCTTCATCTTCGTCAGCGTCTGCGGTCGCAGCGGATGGCTCGTTCGCAGAGGTGGACGATAGATCTGGAATGGGTTTCCCTTCGTTTTCTAGAATATGGTCCATAGCTGGTTGCAGTCCTCGCCCGGCGGTTGCCTTAAGCGCCCCTGGTAATCACGATCGCATCAGAGAGCGAGGCTAAGGGGTACTATCGGGAGCTAGCATACAGTCTATCCTTGCTTCTTCAAATCCAAAACTAAGGAGGGTGTCGCGATCGGAAGGCATCTCTACAAGTTATATTCT